TGGCGGGGGGAGGGTTAGAGTGAAGGGCAGCTTAAAGGGGGAACGCAAGGGTCATCCCTGCAGGGCTCCTCCCTGTCATCGGAGCCAGGGCGCCTGGGGGAGCGCGGCGGCCGAGCGGTCGCGGCCCCGCATCCCCCTCCCCGCGCGCCGCCGGCCACACCTGTTCCTGGGGCACCGGCTGCGCAGACGCAGGCCTTGTCTGCCGGCGGCCCCTCCCCAGCGGCGGGTCCCGGGGAGGGCGCCGGGGTCTCTTGGGAAGAGGACACGACTCGGGTGGGAGTGATGGGCCGCCCCCGAGATGCGCACCAGCGGGCCCCCCCTCCCGCCGCAGCCCCGCCCGCCGGCCTGTTTTGCTCCGGGCTCCGGCATCCGCCCTCCCCCACCGCGGGGACCAGAGCAGCTACCCGCGCCCCGCGCCCCGGGCGCCCTCCCCCGGGCCCGCCGCGGCACCCGCGCCCCTTCGGGGTGCCCCCATCCTCGATCCCTGCGTCTCTCCCCGCCCCCGCCGGTCCAGGCGCAGCCCGCGCCGCATCCCTGCCGGGCGGCTCCTCTCGGGGAGACGGCAGAGCGGGGGAGGGCGCGTGTCTCGAGATGCCGCCGGCCGCGCGCCCTCCCCCCGGGGACCCCCGCCCATCCCCGCCGGGAGTCCCTCCGTAGCAGGGGCCGCGCCGAAGGGGCCTTTCCAGGGAGCCCTGCCCGGCTGCGAATGAAGGGCGGACACCCCTGAATTTGCCCCATTGTTCTTCGCGGGGACGAGGGAGGTCGGGGGAAGGGAAGGGGCCGCGAGGCGCCAGCGCTTCGGGCCGCGATCGGTGCGCCGGCGCCGGCGCCGGGCGTGAGCCCCCTGCTGGAGCACATTCGGTGCAGGTGCGGGATGCGGGGCGCAGGAGGCCCGGCGGGCAGCGGCCTTACCTCTCCGGCGTCACTGGCGGCGGCTGGGCATGGGCGCGGGCATGGGCGCGGGTCCCCGAGCCCCGAGCTGCTGCTGCTCCCGGGCTGTGCTGGGCGCAGTGACGGCGGCGCCGCGTGACGGGCTGCGCGCCCCCGGCCCGGCCCGCCCCGCGCCC